GTTCGCCCCGAGAGTCGGCAGCCCGCGGGGCGCGCCGCCTCGGGCGTTAGAGGAGGTCGCATGAACTCCACCAACACCCTGATCTTCCAGACCGGGCCATTCATTATCGCCCTGTCGGTGCTGTCGGTGATTGCCACGCTGACGTTCAGCCTCATCACGTGCCGGCGCAGCGGGTGGCGCCGTTCCATGGTGCTGCTCGAACTCTTGCGACTCGGCTCCGTGGTGTTGGCGGCGTTGCTCTTCAATCAGCCAGAGTGGATTGAGGAGTTTCGGCCGAAAGACAAGCCGGTCGTGGTGGTGCTGTGGGACGACTCCGTCAGCATGCAAACCCGCGACGTGATCTCGGCCGACCTGCCCAACGGCCCCGTGAAACGCAGCGACGGGGTCTTGCCGCTAACCGAGCCCGAGTATTGGGATTCGCTCGCCGAACGGTACGAGGTGGTGTTGACCCCCTTCTCCTCGGCCGAAGGCGAATCCGCAAGCGACCTGCACTCCCCTCTAGCAGACGCCCTGTCCCAGCACAGGCAACTGAGGGCCGTGGTGCTGGCCTCGGACGGGGACTGGAACGCGGGCAAGCCGCCCGTCGACGCCGCGACACGTTTGCGTCTGCGCGACATCCCGGTCTTCGCTATCCCGGTCGGAAGTCCGACTCGTTTGCCCGACGTCGAGTTGGTGAGCGTTGACGCCCCCACCTTCGGAGTGGCCGGCAAGCCGCTGCAGGTCCCAATAACGATCGACAGCTCGCTGCCGAGAGACTTCCTGGCGACGGCGCAGCTCAAGACCTCCTCGGGAGAGACCATCGAAAAGCAGGTCCGCGTCGAGGCGATGAGCCGTTCGACCAACTCCTTCATCTGGAAACCAGCGCAGACTGGCGACTACACCCTGACGGTCAGCATCCCGACGCACGCCGAGGAACTGATCCTTACGAACAACGAGCGATCGGTTCCGATCGCCGTCCGCGAAGAAAAACTGCGGGTGCTGGTTGTCGAGTCTTACCCTCGCTGGGAGTACCGCTACCTGCGAAACGCGCTCTCCCGCGACCCCGGTGTGCAGGTGTCATGCCTGCTGTTCCAACCGGGGCTGTCAAAACCCGGCGGCGGCAACGCGGACTACATCAAAGACTTCCCCGAAGGACTCGACCAGCTCTCTACCTACGACGTGGTCTTCCTCGGCGACGTGGGCTGCTCAGCCGAACAACTGACGGCCGAGCAGTGCCGGCTGTTGAAGGGGCTCGTCGAGCATCAGGCGTCCGGATTGGTGCTGATGCCCGGCTGGCAGGGACGGCAGATCAGCCTTCTCGACACGGAGCTGGCGAGCCTCTACCCGGTGCAGCTCGATCCGAGTCAGCCCGAGGGCTGGGGGTCGCGAACGCCCAGTCACTTCGAGCTGACCGAGGCCGGCCGACGAAGCCTGCTCACGAAGCTGGCCGACACCCGCGACGAAAACGTTGAGGTCTGGGTAAACCTACCCGGCTTCCAGTGGTACGCCCCTGTGCTCAAAGCTCGCGCCGGCAGCGAGGTGCTTTGCGTCCACGAGTCGGCCTCGAATCAATACGGCCGACTGCCGATGCTGGCCACCCGGACTTTCGGAGCGGGGAAGGTCCTGTTCATGGGGACCGACGGCGCCTGGCGTTGGCGGAAGGGTGTCGAGGACAAGTACCACTACCGGTTCTGGGGGCAGGTGGTGCGTTGGATGGCATACCAGCGCAACATGGCTCGTGGCGAGTCGATGCGTCTGTACTACGCGCCCGACCAGCCCCAGCTCAACCAGACGCTGACGATCAACGCCAACGTGATGGACAACTCGGGGGAACCCCTAGCGGAGGGGGAGGTCGTCGCCCGCATCACTGCGCCTTCTGGGAAGGCCCAGACCGTACGCTTCCAATCGGCCGGCCAAGAGTGGGGCGCCTTCTCGGGGCGTTTCACCAGCAACGAACCCGGCAAGCATGCGGTGACCCTCTCGGTGAAGCAGACCGGGGCTCTGCTGGAGACCTCCTTCTACGTCCAGGGCGAGCTATCGGAAAAAACCGGGCAGCCCGCCCGGGTTGAGGTTCTCGACGAAATCGCCCGCGTAAGTCGCGGCAAAACGATTACGATCGACCGTGCCGACGAAGCGATCCGCCAGCTGTCGTCGCTGGCCGAACCGCCGCCGACCCTGCGCCGGCTCCAGCTTTGGAGCAGCCCGCTGGTCGCCACGGGCATGGTCACGATGCTTGGCGTCTTTTGGGTTCTGAGAAAGGCGGTCGGATTGTTGTGAGGCGCTCGGGCGCCCTCTCACATAGCAGGCGAATACAACCTCCGAAGGCTACGCGAATGCGATCGGCCAAGAAAAGAGTACCCGTTCATTCTCGAAGGACGCCATAATGACCACGGACGATAGCAAGCTGCATGTGCCGGAGTCGCTAAGGGTACAGCTGCGCGGCTACCGCCGTCGGGTTTGGGCGATCAAGGTCACCGAGGCTGTCGCGATCTGTCTGTTCAGCATCGGTATCGCCTACGCGACGGTGTTCGTACTCGACCGGTTGTTCGACACCCCAAGGCCCGTGCGGACCCTCGCGCTCGTCGCCGCCATGTTGGGGTGCGCCGTCTTCCCATGGTTCCTGCACCGCTGGGTGTGGCGCCGCCGGACGCCTTCGCAATTGGCCCGACTGGTCGCTCAGCGCATGCCACGGCTCGGCGACCAGTTGCTGGGCGTCATCGAGCTCGCAGAGAACCAATCGGAACAGACTCGCTCCCGCAGGCTCGTACAGGCGGCGATCGAGCAGGCGGCAAACGACGCCGCGCGGAGCGATCTCGCCCCGGCGGCGCCTGCTTCACGTCGACCGTTGTGGGGGGGGCTCGCGGCGTCGTTCCTTGGTCTAGCGGTGGGGCTCGGCATCGTTTTTCCCGCCGCGGCGCAAAACGCGTGGTCCAGGTTTCTGCGCCCTTGGGGTTCGACCGAGCGATACACCTTCACGGCTGTTGAGCCAATCCCCAAGAAGTTGGTTGTCGCTCACGGCGAGCCTTTCGACTTCGACGTCCGACTCGCTGCGATGTCCGAGTGGCGACCGGACGACGCCGAAGCCCGAATCGGACGCCAGCGGCCCGTCCAGGCAATACTGGAAGGCGACCAGTATAAGTTCGCCCTCCCCGCCCAGATCGGCGAGGACCGCCTGCGGATAAAGGTAGGTGACGCAACGCGCCAAGTGCAGGTCTTGCCGACAGTTCGGCCCGAACTCGTGAGTCTCTCTGCGCGGGTGCGCCTGCCAGAGTACCTAGGCCGCGTCGAGACCGTTGAGAAAGAGGTCCGCGGGGGAGCCGTCGCGGTCGTGAAGGGGAGCCGCGCCGTGATCGAGGCGACCGCTAGCCGACCTCTTAAATCGGCGACAGTCGATGGCGCCGACGCGACACCGCGGGGTGAATCGTTCCAGATCCCCGAGACGCTCGTCGACGACTCAACGCAGAAAGAACTCGCTTGGCAAGACACGCTGGGGCTGTCGGGCGCCGACCCTCTGAAGCTTTCGATTCTCGCCATGGACGACGAGCCACCCACGCTGGTCGTTGAAAACCTCCCTTCGCAAAAGGTGGTCCTCGACTCGGAGGCAATCCAGTTCTCTGTGCGGGCGCGCGACGACTACGGCGTCCAGCGAATCGGGTTCGAGTGGCGTAGCCTGCCGTTCGCGTACGGCCCCCCTGTCAACGACGAGCAGATGTTGGCGGCCGGTGACCCGTACTCCGAGACGCTCGACGCCAAGGGCGTGTTCTCCGCTAACTCCCTGGGCGTGTCAGCGCAGCCGCTTGAGGTGCGTGTCTTCGTCGAGGATTACTTCCCCGAAAGGGGCCGCGTCTACTCAGCGCCGCATGTGCTCTATGTGCTGACACCCGACCAGCACGCGATCTGGATCACCGAAGAGCTCAGCAAGTGGCATCGTCAGGCGCTCGAAGTCCGTGACCGGGAGATGCAGCTATACGAGGAGAACCACACAATCCGCGAGCTTTCCAACGAGCAACTCGACCTGGCGGAAACTCGGCAGCGTATCGAGAAACAAGCCGCCGCCGAACGGTCGAACGGGCGTCAGCTCCGCCGACTGACCGCGGCGGGAGGCGATCTGCTGCGTGAGGCCGCGCGAAACTCGGAAATCGGCGTGGGGCACATCGACCGCTGGGCCAGTATGCTCAAGGTGCTCGATGAGATTTCCGCCAACCGCATGCCCTCGGTAGCCGACCTCCTTAAAGAGTCCTCCGACGCCCCCAATGTCGCCCAAAGCCAACAGCCCTCGGCGCCGCAGGCGGGCCAGAACCGCGACCCGCGGCCCGGCAAGCCGGCGGCCATGGACCCTAGCGGCAAGCCCAAACCGGCTGTGCCAACAATCGCCGACGGCGAATCGAGCCAGCGCCGCCCCGACGAGGGCGGCGACGATGGCGAGCAGCCCAAGAAGAAGCCTTCCGCGGGCAAGCTGACGCTGCCGGTGACGACCGTCGTCGGCGCCGCGAAGAAGGGTGGAGGCGACAACCCCGCAGGCCAGATATTGGAGCAGGCCGTCACCGAGCAACGCGACCTGCTGGAAGAGTTCGGCAAGATCGCCGACGAGTTGAACGATGTCCTCGCCAACCTTGAGGGGAGCACCCTGATTAAGCGGCTCAAGGCGGCGTCGCGTGTGCAGTACCAGATCGCCGAGGGCCTGGGGACTCACCTCCCCGACTCGTTTGGTAAAACCGAGAATAGCTTCTCCAAGGAGACGCAGGAGTCGCTCGGGGGGACCGCCAAGCAGCAGGGCGAGAACGGGGTCGCCGTCTCGTACATCATGGACGACCTCCACTCGTACTACGAACGGCGCCGGATGGTCCGTTTCAAACAGGTGCTCGACGAGATGCGCGAAATGCAGGTCCTGCAAGGCCTTCGGCGCGTCGGCGTAGACATCACCGATAAGCAGGGCCTGGCGATCGCGCAGAGCGAGTTCTGGTCCGACTCGCTCGACCGCTGGGCCGACGACCTGTTCGACCCTGCCTGCTCGGGCTCATGCCCCGGCGGCGCGTCGCCCGAGAGCTTGCCGCCGTCAATCGTGTTGGAGGCGATGCGGATTCTCGAGGCGGAGGTCGGGCTCCGCGAAGAGACCCGGGTCGCCGAGCAATCCGAATCGGCTGTCGAATACGAGCAGCACGTCGAGGAAGCCAATCGGCTGAGCAAGTCACAGGACACGCTGGACGAACGCGTCGCCGCGTTGAGCGACCGTATCCTCGAACTCGAAGACGCCGAGAAGCACTTCGGCAAAGAGCTGAGTCTGCTCGCGGCCGTCTCTCAAGTCATGGGCGAGGCGACCGGCATCCTCGCCGAGCCGGAAACGGGCGACCGAGCGATCGCCGCCGAGACCGAGGCGATCGAGCTTCTACTGCAGTCAAAGAAGCTCAACCCGAAGGGGGGCGGCGGGGGCGGATCGTCTCCCGGCGGCGGTGGCGGTGGCGACACCGAAACGCCCGCCATCGCGCTGGCTGGGAGGGGCGTCAACGAGAACGAGGTGCGAGAAGATCACCAGGTCACCCAGGTCACCGGCGAGACCGGCCGGGTGCTGCCCGAAGAGTTCCGCGTCGGCCTCGACGAGTACTTCAGCCGACTAGACGGCGCCGGAGGGAGTCGGTGATGTATGACCGTCGAGTCGCCGCAGTGGGTCTCCTCGTCGCAATGGCGTCCGTTCCGACATTTGTCGGAGCGACGGCTGCCGATGCGCAGTCCATCATTCGGGAAGTGCTCGGGATCGACGTCGACAGGCTGCTCGCCAAGAAGGCTGAGCCCGCAGACGAGGACCAGGAAGAGGACGAGAACCCGCAAATCAACGCCCTCATCCAGCAGTATCGCCCGGCCTACAAGGGCAAACTCGACGCCAGCCTCCACACGCTGCGGGAACTCTGCCATCCCAGCCGCGAGCAACAAGAGAGGCTTCTGGAAGCAGGCGACGCCGCCCTCGACGCGGCGTTACGAGTCCACGCCAAACGGATGCTGAAATTGAACCAACAGAATGGCAATTTCGTCGTCAACGTCGGACGTTCGCGCGGTAGCAACCCGTGGACCGCGGTGCAAATCGCCTTGAACGCGGCGGTGAGAGATCACCTTTCTCCGGAACAGTCGAAGGTCTACTTGGAGGACCTACGCGAACGTGAGAAGTTCCGTCGCCGGGCGACTGCTAGAACCTTGGTGAGCGCCCTGGACACCCAACTCAACCTCAACCAAGAGCAGCGTGAAGCAATCTTTGCGGCGTTGCTGGAGAATTGGCAGGACGAATGGGAGAACTCGGTGCGTGGGCTGATGTACGGCGCAACGTACCTTCCCAACCTGCCGAGCAAGGCCCTGACGCCCCATCTTAACGAGAAGCAAATGCAGCTCTGGAGTCAGAGCCCGCACGGCAACACGATTCATTTCGGCGACAACGAAGGTTTCCTGGGGCACGGCAAGTTGAACATCCCCCCCTTCGTGGTGCAGGACGATACCGAAAGCGGTGATGAGGCCGCCGAACCCGTGGCGGAGCAGCCGGGGGAGGAGTCCTAGCATGGCCCGAAAGCATCTCCTCCGCCGCCAAACGCTCAGCGCGGCCCTGCTGCTCTCCGCCCTTGCGACGTCGCCTACCTGGGGAGAAGACGACGGCTGGATCGAGTTCGGGGACGCCCCGCAGCAGCAAGAGCAAGGATGGATGATCCCTCCGGAGCAATTCGACCAATGGGTTTTCCAACATGCGTCTAACATCGAGGGCCAGCGCAAGGAGTTCGAGACCAAGTTGGCTCTGGCGATCGACAACGTCAACGACGTTTGCCAACTGACGGAAGAGCAACGGTTGACGCTACGCCTCGCAGGCGAAATAGAGATCAACCGCTACTTCGCGAAGTACAAGCAGGTAAAGGCCTACTACATCAAGACCAAGCCCGACCAAAACAACTTCAACGACATCTGGCAGCTGATCCAGCCGCTCCAGCAGATCGCCCAGGTTGGGCTGTTCGGCGAGGACTCGGCATTGGTGAAGGCGTCGCAAGAGATGCTCAAGGGGGAACAACGGAGCCGCCTTCGCGAGTTGGAGAAAGAACGCCGCGACTACCGCTACCGGGCGCTCGTCGAGGCGTATGTGATGCTTTTCGACGACGTCGCGCCACTGAGTTCCACTCAGCGGGAGCGGCTGGTGGCTGTTTTACTCGAGAACACTTGGCCGCCAAACGTGTTCGGCACGAACGACCAGCACTACATCATGCACCAATCGAGTCTCCTTTCCCGAAAGAAGATCGAGAAAGCGGTCGACGGCCCCCTGCTCGACTTGGTTTACGACACTTTCCAAAAGGGCAAGGGGTACAAGAGCTTCTTGGAATCCCAAGGAATCAAGCCTTATGCCGAGGAGGATGAATGATCGTTCCAGCGATCTTGCGGCGCCGCGCCGCCTACACTTCGGTCCTTGCGGTGCTCACCGTCCTTGGATGGGGCGACCGGCCCTGCTATGCACAGCTCCCGGTCACGATGCACGGGGAGGCCGTGCCCCGCGACATCCGCGAGATGTACGACCGCGGCCTCCAGTACCTGGCGGGCTCTCAGAACGAGGACGGCGATTGGGGGAACGGCGGCTACCAAGGGGCTGGCACGACCGGAATGGCGGTGATGGCGATGCTCGCCTCGGGCGAGGACCCCAACTTCGGCGTCTATAGCGTGCAGCTCCGCAAGGCGCTGCGCAGCATGATCCGCCAGCAGGACGCCTCCACCGGGTACTTCGGCAACAGCATGTACCACCACGGGTTCGCGACGCTCGCCCTTTCCGAGGCCTACGGCGCCGTCGACGACAGAGACCTCTGGCCCCAGGGGGAAGGAGACCGGCAACGGTCGATCGGCGAAGCCCTCGAGCTCGGGGTGCGCGCGTCGATCACGTCACAAAAGAACAACCCTACTTCCGCTTGGCGTTACTCACCCAACGGCAACGACGCAGACACCTCCGTGAGCGGCGCGGTGTTGATGGGCTTGCTGGCCGCTCGGAACGCGGGGATTGAGGTCCCCGACGAGTCGGTGGACAGCGCGATCAAGTATTTCGCGAACATGACCAGCGAGAACGGGATGGTCGGGTACTCGGGTGGTTTTGGGGGCGGCTTTGACGAATCGATCGCTCGCATATCCATCGCCACCCTTGTCTATGCAATCTCTCGGCGGAAGGACCTCCCAGAGTACGAGGCGACCCTCAAACATCTGTCGCGAAACCTCGAACAGACTGGGGCAGGGCATTACCAGCAGTACACCGATTACTACGAAGCGCAGGCCCTGTTCCAGGGCGACATCGAGGCCTGGGAGAAGTGGAACAAGCTGCTGGTGCGGCGGTTGCGAGACTCCCAGCAGGAGGACGGCAGCTTCAGCGGGCAACTAGGCCCAGAGACCAGCACGCAGCTCTCCCTGCTGGCGTTGGCGGTCAATTACCGCTTCCTTCCCATCTACGAACGGTGATCGCGTGCGAAGGACCAACTCTCTATTGCTGCTCGGTCTGATGGGGATCGCGATA